GGCTATTTTTTGGTTGCAGCCGTCATTATTCTTTGGCGGGTCCGGGCTGGGGATTCGAACCCGCCACCCTAGGTGTACATGGCTGGCGCCCTAGCCGGTTGAGCCACAGGCGCCAAGCCAGTTTTTTGCAGACTTATCTGCATTGATAAAGCTTATGGATTATTAATTTACTATTCCTCCCACCCTAAGTTTTACCCCAGTGACAATTGAGCACCACTTGTGTTTCAGGCATTCTGTTACCTACTTAGGATACATAGGTAAAAAATTTGAAAAATCTGTCAAATGGAAAGTTTCTTAATCAGTTAGGAGAATGTAAATTATACTATCTATAGAGAGATGCAAAACCAGTATAAGGTGCTCCATAAAAATATCCCCTTTAAAAGAAGGCTGTTTTGTTGGATAATAGGTTTTTTTTTTAAATAGAGACAAGAGTCTTGCTTTATCATCCTCGGTAGAGTGCCATGGCGTCACACAGCTCACAACAACCTCCAGCTTTTAGGCTTAAGTGGTCCTCTTGCCTCAGCCTCCCAAGTAGCTGGGCCTACAGGTGCCCACCACAATGCCCGGCTATTTTTTAGTTGCAGTTTGGCCGAGTTTGAACCCACCACCCTTGGTATATGGGGCCGGCACCCTACTCACTGAGCCACAGGTGCTGCCCCGTTTTGGGGGGGGGGTGTTGAGACAGAGTGTCACTGTGTCACCCTGGGTAGAGTGTTGTGGCATCACAGCTCACAGCAACCTGCCCAACACCCATGGTATATGTGGCTGGCACCCTAACTGCTGAGGTGGATGGTGCCAAGCTAGATGATAGCTTTTTGATGGAGCTCTTATTTCTGTTTAGAATTTCAAACACTGGGCGGCACCTGTGGCTCCACTGACCCTGTATACAGAGGGTGGTGGGTTCGAACCTGGCCCCAGCCAAACTGCAACAAAAAAATAGCCAGGCATTCTGGCAGGTGCCTGTAGTCCCAGCTACTCAGGAGGCTGAGGCAAAAGAATCACCTAAGCCCAGGAGTTGGAGGTTGCTGTGAACTTTGACATTACGGCACTCTACCGAGAGTGATAAAGTAAGACTGTCTCTTAAAAAAAAAACAAAAACAAATTTAAAGTGCTATTTGGAATTAGAATAATAATTTATAGTGTCTATCTAAAATAATACTGAACAATCAATTAGTTACTGATATTAGCTATTCTCTTTTGGTAAAAAACTGAGTCTCTTTGGTGTCTGGAGATTTTTTTTTTTCCAGTTTAAATTTTTAAGAGGTGTTTAACCATCATAAACAAAAAAATGATAGACTTATCTCCCCAATAAAGTAATACATTAAAGGTTTATGGGAGCCCCATTTAAGGAGTTTGTGGTTGAAAACAAATAATTTGTAGTTCAATTAAATAAAATAGTGGTCTTCATTTAAAAACATTAAGTAAGATCCCTTTAACTTATTTTCTTATAACTACATTGTAAAGGCTTTTCCTCTCTGGTGTGAGCTATGGGTCTTTATTAAGAACTGAAGTTAATTATAATATCTTGTATATGCTTTAACCATGAATTTATTTTTATAGGATTTCTATAATTGGCCAGATGAATCATTTGATGAAATGGACAGTACACTAGCTGTTCAGCAGGTAATAAAAATAATTTTCTTTTACAACTCCTATAATCTAAGCATTTTACCTCTTTGGCATAGTTAACTCTTTTAGTACTGACTAGATTCTACTGAGTTAATGGAATGCCTGTTTAAACTGTAATCAGCCCTTATTTTGTTTTAAGATGGCATGTTAAACTATAATCAAACCCAAAACGTTTTAATATCTGTTATTATACACTAAATTAGAATACCAAATATGATTTACAGTGAATTTAGTTCAAAATTAATTGAATGATAACCTAGAATGGCAGATAGATAGAAATAACACACTTAATTTCGTGACTAAACCCTTGATAGCATGTTTCTAAGCTTTATGTTTTCATTTAATTGTCTTTGGTTCTTTTTCTTTTTTTTTTTTGAGACAGAGTGCCACTGTGTCACCCTCAGTAAAGTGTTGTGACAACACAGCTCACAACAACCTCAAACTCTTGGGCTTAAGCGATTCTCTTGCATCAGGCTCCCAAGTAGCTGGAACTACAGGCGCCCACCACAACACTGGCTATTTTTTTGTTGCAGTTGTCGTTATTGCTTGGCAGGCCCGGGCCGGGTTCAAACCCACCACCCTTGGCGAATGTGGCTGGCGCTGTAACTACTGTGCCATGGGCGCCGAACCAGTTTTTTTTTTTTTTTTAAATTGAGCCCTTGGTAGAGTGATATGGCATTACAGCTCACAGTACCTCAAACTCTTGGGCTTAAGCAAGTTTCTTGCCTCAGCCTCCTGAGTAGCTGGGACTACAGGCACCCACCACAATGCCTGGCTATTTTTTGGTTGCAGTTGTCATTGTCATTTAGCAGGCTCAGGCTGATTTGAATCCGCCAGCCTCAGTGTATGTGACCAGTGCTCTACTTACTGAACTATAGTCAAGCCACTTGTCATTAGTTCTTAACTTTTCTCTCCCTCCAATATATTTGAGGGCTGAGATTCTTTTTTTTTTTTTCTTTTTTGAGAATAGTTATTTCATAATAAATAAAATCTGGAGTTGAGGAAAAAATATTTTCCATATGTGATTATTGAAGATTGCATTAAGGGGCTAATAAAGGGATTGCAGAAATTGGGGTGTGCAAGTATATTGGTTTAGGTATTGGTTAGGTAACTTTTTTTTTTTTTTACAAGACAGAGTCTTACTCTGTCACCTCACTTAGAGTCCAGTGACATCATCATAGCTCACTATAACCTCAAACTATTAGGCTCAACCAATCCTCCTGCCCTAGACTCCCAAGGAGGTAGGACTATAGGCACATACCATCACACCCAGCTGATTTTTTTGATTTTTTATGTAGTGATAGGGATCTCATTATGTTGCTCAGACTAGTCTTGAGATCCTCCCACCTTGGCCTCCCAAAGTACTAGGATTATAGGCATGATCCACTGCACCTGCCCAAGTAACTTTGTTTGTTTGTTCATTTATTTAATTTATTTTTTGAGATGGAGTCTCAGGCCATTGCCTTGGGTAGAGTGCTGTGGTGTCATATCTCATAGCAACCTCCAACTCTTACGCTCAAGCTATCCTCTTGCCTCAGTTTTTTCTATTTTTAGTGGAGATGGGGGGGGGTCCTCGATTTTTGCTTAGGCTGGTCTTGAACTCATGAGCTCAAGCTATCCAACTGCGTCAGTCTCCCAGAGTGCTAGGATTATAGCCAAGTAACTGTTTTTTTTTTTTTTTTTTTTTTTTTGAGACAGAGTCTCACTCTGTTGCCCTGGGAAGAGTGCTGTGGCATCATCATAGCTTACAGCAACCTCAAAGTCTTAGGCTTAAGCAATCCTCTTGCCTCAGCCTCCCAAGTAGCTGGGACTATAAGTATGCACCACCATGCCCAGATAGTTTTTTCCTAAGGTCAAGCAGTCTACCTGCGTCAGCCTCAGCCTCCCAGAGTGATAGGATTACAGGCATGAGCCATCATGCCTGGCAGCCAGGTAACATTTTTAAAGGGAAAGTGTCATGAACCCAAGCTGTTTGGCTTCAACTTTTTAAAAATTTATTTTTAATTAATTATTTAATTAATTTTAGAGGCAAGGTCTCTATCACTTAGACTGGAATGGAGTATAGTGGCATGCCCATAGTTCACTGCAACCTTTAACTCCTGAGCTCAAGCAGTATTCCTGCCTCAGTCTCCTGAATAGCTAGGATGAGAGGCATGTGCCAACATGCTGGGCTACCCATAATTTTAGTAGTAACATTTAGAACCTTTAGGATAGATTTATTGTGGGCGTATTTATTTATTTATTTATTAGAGACAGAGTCTCACTTTATTGCCCTCAGTACAGTGCTGTGGCGTCACAGCTTATAGCAACCTCCAACTCCTGGGCTTAGACCATTCTCTTGCCTTAGCCTCCCAAGCAGCTGGGACTATAGGCGCCTGCCGCAGTGCCTGGCTACGGTATGTGGGGCCAGTGCCCTATTCCTTTGAGCCACAGGCATCACCCGAGGGCATTCTTAACTTGTTCCTGATCTTAGAAGGGTGCTTTTACTCTTTCATTGTTGAGTATGATGTTTCCTGTGGGTTTTTCATAAATGGCTTTTATTTTGTTGACATAGTTTGCTTTTAATCCCTCTTTTTAAATTATTTTTTTTCTGTTGCCCAGGCTGAAGTGCAGTGGTGCAATCCTAGCTCACTACAGCCTCAGATTTCTGGCTGAAGTGATCCTCCTGCCTTGGCTTCTTTAAGTAGCTGGAACTACAGCTGCATGCCACTATGCAGGGTGATTTTTACAATATTTTGTAGAGAAGTTGTCTTGCTGTGTTTTCTAGGCTGGTTTTTTAATTCCTGGGCTTAAGTGATTCTCCACCTCGGTCTCACAAAGTGCTGAGATTATAGGTATGAATCACTGTGTCTGGCTAATTTCTGGCTTTTTGAGTGTTTTAAATCATAAAACAGTGTTGAATTTTCTCTGATGTTTTTTCCCCACACCAATTGAAATGATCATGTGTTTTTCTTTCATTTTGTGCATGTTTTCCATTATTATTATTTATATTGAACCATCTTGCATTCAAAGAATAAATGACATACACTTGGTCATGATGTATAATCCTTTTAGTGTGCTACTGATTTTGTTGAGGATTTTTTTTTTTTTTTGCCAGGGCTGCCTGGGTTTGAACCGCAACCTCCAGCATATGGGGCCAGTGCCCTACTCCTTTGAGCCACAGGCGCTGCCCTGTTAAGGATTTATGTATCAGTGTTCACAGGAGATATTGATTTACATTTTTCTGACAGTGTCTTTGACTTTGGTATCAGGGCAATGCTGGCATCATAGAACGAGTTAGCAAGTATTCCCTCCATTTTGGGGGCGGGGGAAGAATTTGAGAATTTTTGTTCTTTAAAAATTTGGTACAATTTACTAATGCAGCCATCAAGTCCAATGCTTTTCTTTGATTATGCAACATTATGAATGTGATTAATGTCACTTAACTATATGCTTAGAAATAGTTTAAATGCCTATCCTTTTCTTATTGAATGGTCTTGACACCCTTGTCAAAAATTATTTAACCACACATATGAGACTTTATTTGGAGGCATTCTATTGAATTTCATATGTCTGTACTTCTGCCAGTGCCACACTGTTTTGATTACTGGAGCTTTGTAGTAAGTTTTAAAATCAGATAATGTGAATCCCCCAGCTTTGTTCATTATTTTCAAGATCGTTTTGGTGGTTTGAAACTCTGTGCAATTCCACATAAATTTGAAGATTGGCTTTTTCACTTCTGCAAAAAAAAAAAAAAAAACACTTTGGAATTTTAATAGAGATCAATCACATCAATATCTAGATTGTTTTGGATGGCCATCTTTACAATATTAAGTCTTACTTACGAAGTTTTCTTTTCTTTTCTTTTCTTTCTTTTTTTTTTTTTTTGAGACAGAACCTCAAGCTGTCACCCTGGGTAGAGTGCTGTGGCATCACAGCTCACAGCAACCTCCAACTCCTGGGCTCAAGCGAGTCTCCTGCCTCTGCCTCCCAAGTAGCTGGGACTATAGGTGCCTGCCACAACACCTGGCTATTTTTTGGTTGCAGCCGTCATTGTTATTTGGTGGGCCCAGGCTGGATTCAAACCTACCACCCTAGGTGTATATGGCTGATGCCTTAGCCACTTGAGCCACAGGCTCCGAGCCGACCTCATCTCTTAAAAAAAAAAAAAAAAAAAAAGGCATAGTGGCAGGCTTTTGTAGTCCTAGCTATTTTGAAAGCTGAGGCAAGAGAATTGCTTAAGCCCAAGAGTTTGAGGTTGCTGTGAGCTGTGACGCCATGGCACTGTACTGAGGATGATGAAGTGAGACTCTGTCTCAAAGAAAAAAAAAAGAAAATCCTGACTTCAAGTGATCCTACCAGCCTGGCCTCCCAAAGTGCTAGGATTATAGGCATGATCCATCACTCACTCATTCTTTGTGCTTTAATTTATAAGGCCAGACCATTTAATGTAGTTATTGATAGATAGGTTTAGGTGTAACTTTACCATTTTATTACTTGTTTTCAGTTTGTTCCCTCTGTTTTTTTGGCCATGTCTTTCCCTTTCTTGCCTTTTAAAGGGTGATTTGAACATTTTGTTTTAAGTAAATTCTAATTTTGACTGTATCTTTTTATAAATTTTTGGTGGTTGCTATAGGGACTACTAAATATACTTTACACAGTCTACTTTGATCTATATACATTGAAAACACCATCAGACAATGTTATTCTTTTTTTTTTTTTAGCTTTCACCTGTCAAAAACATTTTAAAGAAGTCATGAGGAGAATGTTCCTTTTTTTTTTTTTTTTTTTTTGAGACAGAGTCTCTACTTTATTGTCCTCAGTAGAGTGCTATGGCTCACAGCTCACAGCAACCTCCAGCTCCTGAGCTTAGGCCATTGTCTTGCCTCAGCCTCCCAAGTAGCTGGGACTAAAGGCGCCCGCCACAACACCCGGCTGTACTTTTGGCGCGCAGTTTGGTAGGGGTTGGGTTCAAACCAGCCACTCTTGGTATATGGGGCCGGTGCCCTACCCAC